GGCTGCCTGCTGCCGGGCACGCTCCTCCTCCATGGAGATGCGCAAGGCCAAGGCCTTAGTTCCAGACAAGAGCAACTGTGATTTTAGTGTTGTTAACACCAAAACTACTAAAGTATAAGAAATGTTAATTAAGTTGCTAAAAGTTGTCAAGCATGTTGGCTTGGGTCCAGGTCACGAGCTCAGGATCTTCGTTGGGATTGATGCCAAACTCGAAGCCCGCACCACCATCGCCGCTGCCACCGGCCTCTCCCTCTGGGTTGATGATGGGGGAAGCTAGGAGGACATCGCTCAACAACTTGGGCCCTACAGGGGCCTCCAACAAATGGGATGTGTCGTTGCTGTTGAGTGCATTCATTAGCTTCTCTAACTTCGGGGCATTCTCTTCAACTTCGCCGAAGCTCACCAAGTCCAGTGCCACACTGTTCTTCTTCAGGTTCTTGCCCAAGGCTTCCAATTCCTTGTCACTGGCACTCACGGGACTGCCCACAAAAGCAATGATCCGCTGCTTCTGCTTCTTATTCTGACGGTGCTTCAACGCCAACTGAGCTGTCTGAATGGCTCTCAGCAAGTCTGCATTGCCACCGATCTGCACCTTGTTCAGCTCAGTGACCAGCCTACCCAAGTCGGACGTTGGAGTCACCATCACTTCAATCCGATCGCCTGCCGCAGCCAAGATGCCTACGGCATTCTCGGGGTTCTGATTGGTCTTGGCTCCACAAAGCAGGTTGGCCGCATCGGATTGGGAATCAAAGCGCGTTGGCATGTAGTCGCCATTCCTGGTGTAATCCGAATTGTCGAGGCAAATCATCACAGCCTCCAGTGGCATCGCGTCTTCGACGCACCGGACGACGCGCGTCCGACAAGGCGGCGCGCGTCTCGGTTGCGGGGATTCCAACCTGTCTTTGAACCGGAATGACTGCGAATTCACGCAACTTCAAGGACAAAAGGTCACAATCGAGAGCAACAAGAGGACTTCAAGAGTGTGGATACAAAAGGTAGATCGAATCTACAGCAACAGCATCATTCACATGTGCTCTCATAACTCCGCCGGCCTTGATCAAGCGATAATAATGTCCATGTTGATCTGAGCGGAGCAGCTCTGGGGTGCAGGACTCGCTTTCCACCAAGCGGCCCAGCAAGCCCAGTGCCAAGCACAGGCTCCACCAAGCCTTCATCCTCTCTTGAGAGTCTTGAGCTCAGCTGACCGCGGTGGATGTTGAAGGGTCTGAACACCAAACAACCAAAGACAAGTGGGAACGATAATGCAAAGACAAGCAACCACAGGCTACGTTTCCTGCAAGGTGGTTGGGGCTCATGAAAGCTGAACCAAACAACCGATTCACTAGATCGACTCGACTGCTTTTCTCTAAACTGCAAGTTGGAAGCCTCGTCAGTCGGTCACCAACACTCAACCTCCTACCAGCTCAGTCCGGGTCCGGTTTGTTTGCCGCTGAGAAAGCAGCTTTTCACAGCTTCGACTGCGGTAGATCCTCCGGGGGTCTCACATCAAAGGTTTTCAGCACCGCACCTTAGCGCCCAGCTGACACACACGGCCCAGCTGAACATCCCATGCATTCCAAGGTGAACGGGCCGAACGCGGCTGTTCGATCAATCTCACGAACGGAAGCTTCCCTAACCAAAACCCAGACCCAAAATCAATGGTAGGCTAGGCTGACTCGAATCAGGGCAGAACATGATGACCATGATCATCTATAGGATTCTATGTCTTTACTGGTCTTCACATGTCTTTACTGCCAGAGATATTCAGAAGAGCGGAAACCTGCTGTTGCTGGGACAATTTGCAAGCAGCAAACATCCATTCCCAAGCTCTCACGAGATGCAAAAACTCTCCTGAGTAGGTCGAGCGGTCTTTGACTTAATCTTCAGTCGTTCTGGCAAGGCAAAGTAGCTGCCTCAAAGAAGACGTTCAAAGACATTGGGCCAGTCACTGCCATTGATGTGATGACTTTGCACCAGGTACGATGGACACTTGATGACTTGATGACCAATCAAAAGCAAGGAAGGAGATGCTACGAGTAGGGCCTCGAAGGGCATTCTTGGCTTGGAAAGGCTGCCACAAGTGCAACCCCACCTCTGCCACAAGTGCCGAATGTTCCTTTGGAGAACCACAGCTCTATGGCTGTCGCAACTGCCCCACAGCTCTCGAAAGCTTCACAGAGATCGCCAGACCTTCGGTCATGGTGACGTGTGCCGTCTTCAATATCGGCCGAGTTCAGGTTTGTTTGGCTGGAAGCGGAACCGCCTTCGAAACCGGCCTTGACATCCACGACTGTTGCGAAAGCTTCTCTGAAGGAACAAAATCACCCCTTTGACCTGCTTTGAACTGTGGACTTTCACTGGAGACGCCTCTTCACAGCTAAAACACACCCTGGCTCAGGCCGTCCATGTAGATGAGGCAGCAAATAAGAACGCCAACGTCCATGCCAGAATTTGCTTGCACGCCTCAGATTTCGCACGGCACACAAAACATGGGCTGACGCGCGTGGTGTTGCTTGATCAACCTAGCAACCAACCAAACAACTAATCAACCACACAAGTAGCAAGCGAGGTCGAGTTATGTTCGCTTCCAAACGGGCATCCTGAAGACCGCAAAGAGCTGTGCGTTCGATGGCGGAAACGGGCATTTTTGAACAGGAACAAAAGAGAGTTCCTGTGGTTTTTGAGTCTGAAAAAAAAAAAACATCTCTGGTCCCAAGTGCTAGAGCTGCTCGTTCGAGCAAACCCATGTGGCGAACAAACCCATGTCACGGATCACCCGGACCACGTGCAATCGCTCGTCGTCCAGTTATATTAGCTTCTTGTTACTAGTAGCAATGGCCTCCAACCTACTTGCAATGGCCTCCACCTAATAGCATCCTTGTTACTAATAGTAGCTATTTGCTACTATAGGGGTAATGCCCTTGTTACTAGTAGCGATGCCCCTTGTTCCTAGTAGTTTCTTGTTACTAGTAGTATGTGAAAATGATGACTTCCTCTGCCTGGTGTCATCTTTCGGGGAAAGTACACCCAAGACAGTAGACAGTGTGATCCTCGGCCAAAGCGGAGCAGAAACTGGGTGACCGCAGTGAGCCCCATACGAGGCCTGCGTAGTATTCATGGTCCACTCATTCGGTTTTCCAACCTCCACCCCCAAACACCATGAACACCAAACAAACTACCCAAGTGCTGCGGTCAGCCATTGCCATCGAAGGCTCTGTAGAAGCTCCGTTCGCTCTCAAAGCTTAGCTGTGCCACCTAGGTACCGCGCGGCAGTCTACAGTGACACCAAACCTGGACCCCACGGCCAAAGCCAAAACAACCAAGCAAACTCTACCTGGACTGTCCACTTCCGTGTTGTTTTCTCCACAAAAATCATAAAAGCACAGTGAGTGGACTGCTCCCAACTCTTTTTCTAGGTAAATCCACCTGGGTCTGTGCCAGGATCTTCTTCTTCGCGTCGGTCACGGCCAACTGCTCCTCCACTTGGCAGCCCTGAAAGATCCAGCCTGTGCTTTTCGGAGTGTGGAGGTTCAAAGGGTCATGGACTGTTTGAACATCTTTGACCCTTGGATTGTTTGTTCAAAGGGTCATGTTTGGATGTTCATGTGTTCCTTTGGTTTTCTTTTCACGAAGCACCGAGGATTCTCCTTGGGGCAGGGTGCACGCAAGTTCTGGAGAAAAGGCTCCAGGAAAACCCGAGGGAGACTGTATGAACAATGGTACCTGGGTGCCCAGTGTCACACATCTTCTCCAAAAAGGATCACCAAGATCTTCTTTACTAGAAAAACATACCAGTGGTTCAGGGTCCAACCAGCATTGAAGTGTCCAAAATCACACTCTCCTACTCCTACATCCTCCTACCTGTCGGAATCAAGCACTTTTCTGTTTTCTTCCCATCACCATTAGGATTTCAAGGAGACATTGTCAGGGTTAACCCGGCCCAATTCGTTTGTGGAATTCGTAAAATGAGGAGTTGTCCCGTGTTTAACACCAATAACACCTATATAAAGTATATTGAAATACTACAAAATCCTGTCTACGCGCATGTAGCATACTGTATTATAGTTATATATAGTTGTATATATATATATGTGCGATGTTCTTTGTAATTCTTTGTATAAGTTCTTTCCTCCTTCGAAACGAATCCCAGTCGCCTGTGACCTCCTCCGCGCCGATCTTCAAGACAAAGCGGGGCCCCACATGGCTCTCCACCTCCGGAGCGTGGTGGAGATGTCTTCGGAGTCTTCGGGGTCCATCAGAACCTTTGGAAGATGAGTCCAACCAACACCTTCTGAGACCACCTGATTTTGGAGAAATGAGATTGGAGCCCGGAAGAATACATGCTTTCGGTTGTAACTGGTTTGGGGAGTGTGTTCATTTACTGTATATGAATTTTATGATTCAGGAGTTCTTCCTATCTTCCTTCGACAGTTGCATAACCCAAGGTGGTGAAACGTTCGAGATGACTCAGCAAATGACTTCGAGGAATCACCTACAGTGTCTTACATGCTCAGTCAACAAAAACTCCAACCTTTCCGCCCAAACCTTTCAAAGGGCTCGACTGCGCCTTCGCGAGGCTGGCGAAAATACTATTGTCCGGCAGGCAAATTTCCAACTCACGGCCATATTTGTAGGCGACCGCCAGAGCTGAGGTGTCCACAAAGCCTGGAGCACCCGAGAACGGGTGAGCAGATCTGAAAAATGTAGAAAAATCTTACTATATAGAAAGCTTTTTTGTTACTAGTAGCGATGGCCTCCAACTCCAACCTATATAATGGCAATGGCCTCCACTCCACCTAGTAGCTTCTGAAATAGACATGTCCCGTTTGCGCTCATCTTCCCTTACCGCACAAGGATGCAAACTCGACCCTGCTGTAGAAGTGCCTGGCTTCCTAGACCAAACCTTGGTTCACCACACCACCTGCCAGGCCTCTCTTCGGGCTCCGCAGTAGAGAGCCTCTGGCTTCAGGTTTCAGGTTTCGCAGGACGATCAAGGGCTCACGTGCCTCGAATCAGCAGCCGGGATGGCTGAGACGCCGACAGTCCACATTCATGACTGACAAAACAATGACAAGCACAATAGCTCTGACAATGCGTCTCATCGGAAAAGCTTGTGGCAAACGCATGCAGTCACAAGTGCAGTCACAAAAGCATATAGAAAACCCCACCCAACCACCGTGGCCTGATAGATCTTCTCAACCTGCAGCAAGCGCGGTTGAGCTCTTTCTGCCCCTCTGCCCGACATGGCAGCTTTCAGGGCTTGATTATAACACCATCGGCCAAATCTGACCACTTGACTTGTTGCTTGAAACGAAATGGAGCATAAACTGAAACCAACAAAAATCGAATTCGTGTGCTGCCAAGCGTCCGTGGGCTCTCTCTGGGAAAGCCGCGCAGATTCGGTCGAAAGATTGACTTCTGCTTTCAGCAAAGGCATGCCAATCCTAGAGCGTCGAGCGCAAGTGAAAGGGACTCCGAAAAGCACTTGGTGTTCAATTCTTTTTCCACTGCACCAACTGTAACACCTCCGGAACCCGTCAGGTATCAACATATATCAACACACCAACTTCCGTTTCAGATCTGTACAATTGAATTCTCCCATCTTCCCTGCCCTGTCGGAGCGTCGGGTCCACGATGTCCAGCAGCGCTTCGGAGCTCCCTTGCTCCGCGACCAGCCGCGGCACGCCCAGCAGGCTCTGGGAGTAGCGCGGCACCTGGATAGTCGAGACCGTGACCGAACGAAGTTCCTTCGCCTCGAAATCCCCTTTGTTTTTGGAAGAGAAGGTGAGAAGGGGTCCAAGATTCGAGGACACATCCGGGGTCTGCGGACATGAAGTATTGAGACCCAAATCTGAGCTGCGATGAGATGTCGAGAGAACTATGGCCTAACCTTCCATCTTGACGTAGGTTAGACCATTTTGACCTGGAAGAATCCATCGCCATCGGCAGCTTCATGCCAAGCTCCCTGTAAGCAAATGCCCATTGCTCAAATGCCGTCGCTCAGAGCGGGGAAGCTGGAGTCCATAAACAGGTCCGGTCCAAACGCTCTTGGCTTGGACCCTAAGGACCGTGGAGGTCTGTCACGTGACCGCTTTCGGAACAAAACGATCTCTCCCTGGAGCAGCAATATCACCAGACGAATGTCTGGCCATTCTGAGTTGCCAGTGTCTCTCAACCCATCTTGTTGTCGCTGTCCTCAACCTTGAGCGAGAATCGCACAACTTCCAGGCCTGTCTTGGCCAAGTGCAATTTGATGCCGCTGTCTCCACTCCAGCCTCGAGCAAGAACGGTACACTTGTTTTCGTTGAAGAGAATGCTGCTCTGTACCCACCGGGAAAGATGGAAAGGAGGAGTGAAACAGGACCCGGTCACTGTCCTAGTCACAAGCGATGAGGTTCGGACGTGGTGACAGGGGTACGTGTGAGGCAGCAACGGCATGCTTGATCCAAGCCACACTTTTGGGACAGCCCTTTTGCATGGAGTTGTCAAACTGAAATGACCGATCATAGGCAGCCGTGTCTGTAGTGA